GAAATTTAGTTATAACATCAGCAAAGCGACAGACAAAATAAGACTCTCAGATGGTATAGACATTAAAAAGTGTATTCATAAAAAAATAAATAACAAAATAAAGTGAAAAAAGGTGAAATATAAAAGTACAAATACCGTACAGTAATGTTTCGAATATAAATAAATCAGTAGTCAGTAAAAGAAGGATAAATAGCCAATAAACTTAGTAATTAAGGTTAGAAATAGCAGCAACAATAAAGATGTGCAAGATGTCAGCAGCATGGTATTTAAAATGACTGAGGAAGGAAATAATCTTGAATTGAACACATTTTAAGTTTGTTGGGTGCAGTGATGGTTATAGATGCAAGCACATCCCTTTTACTTATTCTTAAGATGCTCATTCAATTAAGGATGGAGCCTTTTTTTAACCTTCTAAAAATATCAGATGGACTGGAATGAAAATATATAGAATATATTTAAATAACTTATATATAAATCTATATATATACTTGTAAGACTGAAAAAAAGCATTGAATGTTTTCTTGTTTTTATTTCTTACTTTTAATGATCAGAGAGTACATAGAAATGAACCGTTAAGCAAATGTAATGTTTGCTCTCTTTGGCATGTATTCAGATTGGAGTCAAAGCAAACAGTTATAAAAAAAAATACAAAAGACATAGATAAATAATAAATTCTTTACTTATAGCTTTTCCAAGAACTGTTAAATATTAAAAAGAAAACAAAGACAATTAGGCAAGTGAAAAATTATATAACTGTACATTTAAAAACATAAAAAAAAAACTATAGAATAGTAGGCTAATAACTAGTGCTATAGGACGAACATCAGTCCGTTATGCATCTAATGTGTTCATTTAATGAATTTCCTGTAATATTTTCAACAAATAATGAAAATAAAAATTCAATTCAGTTTATTTATATAGCGCCAAATTCACAACACATGTTATCTCAAGGCACTTTACAGTTCAACCACCAAAATATTGATGTCTTAATCTGAAAAGATCTTTTTATGATCATTAGAAGTCCTTGTGTGATATAACCACAAGACTGAGGGTCAAGCATTTAGAGTTCAGTAAAAATATGGCTAAAACACTTGAAACCGATCCATCCTCTTCTACTTACTCAGGGTCGGGTCACGGAGGTAGCAGCTTCAGTTTTTTGGCCCAGATGTCTCACTCCCCAGTCACCTGGGCCAGCTCCTCTGGGGGAATCCCATGGCGTTCCCAGGCCACCGGAGAAACATAGCCCCTCCAGCGTCTCCTGGGTCTCCCTCTGGGCCTCCTCCCGGTGGGACGTGCTGGGAACACCTCACCAGGGAGGCGTCCAGAAGGTATCCTAAACAGATGCCCCAGCCACCTCAACTGGCTCCTCTCAACATGGAGGAGCACAGCCTCTACTCTGAGTCCTCCCTGGATGACTGAGCTCCTCACCCTATCTCTAAGGGAGAGCCCAGACACACTACGGAGAAAACTTATTTTGGTCACTTGTATCTGGGATACGTTTGATACCCTTCCAATATTATAGCATTCTAGTCAATAATTACAAAATTACAAGAAAATAAATGCCTCAACATGCTGGCTGATGGCTAAATGTAGCCTTAACCTTCACTTCCAAACTGACACATAAAAAGGTATAATACGTATTTCAATTCCATTTCTTTATAACATCCCAACCTTTTCAGCATTTGAAAGATGTATAATCTATTAAACAGTGAAAGAACCTATCATCTATTTGTAGCATTGTCTGTAAAGAAAGTCATGGAACTCATTTTGGGTTTGAGGGTCTTCATGCTTCCTAATCTGCAGACTTACTGATCCTCATGATGCACTGATTTCCAAAGATTATCCTGACAGCTAAAAAGAGCATTGAGCTGTAAGTGTAAGTAAAAGCTGTCTGATTAATTCTGCAGTAACCCTAAACTTTAACAGTTGTTGTTTTGTTTTTTTTCTTTTTAATCATTTGACGCAGTCTTCATGCCTTACTGGAACCAGTCAGATGGGTCTGAACAAAACAAGGGGCCACAAAGGGGCAACAAAGGAGGACATATGCACCCGTGATGTCAGATCCAACTGATTCACTCTTTGCCCTGTTGTCATGGTGACACAATCATCGGGTCTTTCACTTCCTCCTCGGGCGAATTGCCTGCAGTAGAATGTAATGTTAGCAGGGTCTTTGCTCTGCCAGAAGCTGTTTACTCGTCTGCCAGAGGCTTTATTTGTCAAAGCGTTATGGAAAACATCAGGCAGAGCTGAAAAATGACTCCCTCCAGAGACTAGCTTATTTAGCCATTTGTTTTTGCTCTCACTTTAGCTTGTGTCTGAGTCAGAACATTTTTACAGTTATACAGCAGCAGGGATACTCAAGGGTACTAGCTGTTTTTAAAGTATTGTTTTGATGTTTTTCATACCCTGTTCTCCAGCAGACTCATGACTGATTTTCATTTCCAACTACAAAGTAACTTGACAAACAGCATGGCTTGAAAACCATGACTTTTTCCCAGACACATTTGCAGTATGAAAACTGTTAACCTCAGTATTTATTTTATTTTTTTTATCTTGCAGGATAAAGTGGGTAGATTCAGTAGGATCAAAATATCTTTCAAAAGTGAATATTATAAATTTAGGGGTATAAAAGTATTTTTGTTTTTATTTTTTATTTTTTACGCCATACACTTTCCCTCCATCAGACTTAACCACAGCATCCATTTGTACATCTGTGAGTCCCTTTGACTGCTTCCTCCAGGGGGAGCTGCAGCAAGACATAACAACTTAGAACAGATTTTTTTTCCCCACAGGATGCCCTAGTTTATTGCAGCAGGTTCATTACTCTGATTTTTACTGTGCAACATCAGAGCAAATGAAATAATAAAAAATGCTGAACATACCTTCAAGATCTTTGTGTAAACTGTTAATATATATATATATATATATATATATATATATATATATATATATATATATATATATATATATATATATATATATATATATATATATATATATATATATATATATATATAAAAATCTATCCCTATTATTTACTTAATGTTGATGTGTAACATAACATTTGAGCAAATCATAATAAAAAGCTTGTGCTTTAAATTTAAAATGTATAACATGTATATTGTATAATATGCTGGGGTCCATATGGCCGATGGAAAAGTTAAATTTAGGACTCAACAGAAAAACAGCAGTTTTTGAGCAGTGCTATTTTGCGTCATTTACCTGCCTGGTAAGATCAGTCTGACCCTTTAAGCAAGAGGAGCTCAGCAAGCAGGAAGCTAAATAGGGCAATTTCAACAAAGTGGCTAAACTGCAGGTCTCCAACACCTTCTGTCATTCACTGCCTGTACTAACTGCCTTTCAACTGATTGATTTTGGTTGTGGGAGTAAATGTAAAAACACACATCATACACCTTTCTCTCTAATAAAATCATCTTGAGAATTGATTATTTTTGTTCCCGACCCAACTTAAGAAAGTAAGAGATTGACATTTAAAATCACTGTTATTAGAGTGCAGTGGTGGAAAGTAGCAAAGAACATTTACTTGATTATTGTATTTAGGTACTTTTTCTAAGTATCTTTACTTGAGTATCTTTTTTAGGGGTTGCACTTAAGACTCTCACTTCACTACATTTCAAAGTCAAATATTGTACTTTCTACTCCATTACATTTTTGGAAGCTGCTAGTTGCTTGTTACTTTTGGCTCTGCTTAGCTTTTTAATCTGCTGTTGCTGTTTTTCTTTTTTAAAATACATTTTCAACATCTAAGATAGCAGCCCTAAGGACTGAATCTGGACACTACTGTTTTACAGATTTGCAAGACGTTCCACAAATGTGAGAAACTCAGGGCAGATATTATTTGTAGTTTATACATTTTAAGGCGTGAATTGTTGCTATGTGGCTGAGTTACTCAGTAGGATGAGTTGTAGTTTCTTTTTGAAAAAGAGTACTTCAATACTTTAACTTGATTAGATGTTTGACCGAGTTACTTATAGCAGTTGAATATAATTTGACTATGAGTATCAATACTTTCATTCAAGTACTACTGTTGAGTACTTCATCCACCACTGTTAGAGTGTCCTGACAAAGTATGTGTAAATATCTTTTCATTGGAAATATAATTTACATTGGCTTTAATATTTATACTACTTAACTTTTTACATTTTCTTATATTTTTCATCTCTTCCAAATAATGACTCTGAAAACTTTTGTTTTGTGTTTTTAGTACTTTGTAAAGCTGTTTGCAGGAATAAATACCACAAAAATGTTGTGGAGTGTCTCCACCAGCACATTTTAAACCTTTTACTGATCTCTGCACAATTGTTCCAACTGAGTCAGATTAGGCCCTCAAACCTCTCCAAATATAACTTCTATTTTTTTTTTTTTTAAATCAGAGTAAAGTGGGCTGTGCACCAATACATGACACGCTTTCCAGATTTTTCACTGCAACACATTTGGAAATGATTGCATTCCTGTTTAAGTTTATATTCTAACTTGAAAAACCAATAATTAAACTTCAGGGTATTACTCTTTTTTTTACTTTTTCATTCAGACCTCTAAGATTTGAAGCTCTCTGTTTTGAAGCGGTTCATGCAGACAACAGCAGTGGGGCAGTGATTTGCTGGGTGACCTGTTTGTTTTGTTAGCTGTGTGTGCTGCTGTGAAGATGGGACTTCAGAATACATACAATCCTTTGTGGGACTGAACTTTGGGTTACTTTAGATCCATAGAGAACTGAATGATTATATAGCTGTCTATTTTAAAGGAGAGTTATCAAGTAGTTAAAGGAAGTTATTTTTATTTTTTAAGCACCCTTGCAATTAAAGGTATGGCAAGTTCCCAAATGCCTTCTACGGCTTGAAAGGCTTGAGAAAGACTGAGATTTGTCTACTAAATTAAGATAAAGGAGGCGGCTGGCTAAAGAAAAGGCAAGGGGTGGGGTGGGGGGGTTGCTTAATTCAGACCCCTTTCCCCCCTTTTTCTCTCACCCTAGCTGTCTCCTTGGTCACACACATGCACAAACACTGACAAGGGCTAAGTCCTGCTACAGCTACCACCAACATCATGGAGAAGAGTGGCTCAGTTTCTTTGGCCATTGCACAGCCCCAGCAGCCTGAACTGGATAGTAGCTTAGAACTAGACACAGCGAAGACTGATCGCAGAGAGGAAAAGGAGGATGAGGAAGATGAAAAGGAAGGAGGAAGATGTGCTGGGGAGGATGCCAGAGGGCAAAGATTGGATCCAGAGTGGGTGGAGGAGAGATTCCGGATTGACAGAAAGAAGCTAGAAAACATGCTGTATGGTGAGTGAGATGGCAAGCTCGGTTCTGTTATAGTTTTTAAATCTTCTCATGAGACACAGGTTTCCCCCTATGATGCCTATCCCTGTCCTCCTGTGGGTTGGCCTCTGTTATCTACCTGAACCAGTGTCTGTCACTGCCTTCGGCTGCTTCTTGTTGCCATCACTAACGTCAATGTATTAAACTCCTGTTGCTGTAGCTTTGTGATTTATGACCTGTGTTGACGTACGCATTCAGAAGCCCCTTTTCGCCTTTTATCCTCTCTGACTGGGAAGTAGAGGTAACTGCCGCTGTTAGTTATTGCCTCTGGGCAGCTTTATGACAAATGCCTCCCTCACGTCACTGGGGAAACTCTATGACTTGTGTACAGCTGCTGGAGATTATGTTTGCTCATGATGGTGCAGCTCTTAAACCAATTCAGCTCAAATAACTGTCGCTTGTTTTTAATGCGTTTGCAGCTTGGATTGTTTGTGACTGTTTTTGTAGCTCTGGCTCGGCTGTGAATGATGTCTTTTCCTCCATTTCTGTCACATTGCAGTTCCCTCTGAATTAATTAGTGTTTTTGTTTCACAATATATATATTTTTATTATTATTGGTAGATCTTTATATCAACGCATTAGTGTGATCATCTGTCTTCAAGTTGATGTGTGGTTGTCTTTCTGATGTGCCTCTTTCTTGCTCTGTTCTCTTGCCATTCCTCCATTCCTGCCTGTGTTACCCATAGCGATGGCAAGGGGAGGGAAGGAGGCTGTTTCTGAGGCTCCACTTGAATCCTGTAAATGTCACCATGGAATGATTCCCTTTTAAATTTGGATATGTTTCCAGCCACCTCTTGTTCCCCTTACTTGGCAAAGTTTCAACACTTTATGTTATACTGAAAAGTTGCCTTGTGAACAGGACAACAAAAGATGCCAGCTATTTCACCATAGTTTTTCAGTGCTATAAAACCTCAACCCATCTGATTTCAAGATGTTCAAAATCTATATTATGATTGCCAATTTCATTAACTCTGCTTTTTAAAAAGTGTAAAACATAAAATGTAACTTGATTGCAAAGAATGATTTGTTTTTAAATGTCCATTCAGATAATTCAGTTTTGTGGGTTTTGTAGCCAAAGAAAAGTGAAAATGTAATTTACTCTAAACAATTTCATATAATCCCAATAAAAATTATATATATCTATCTATCTACTTATCTATCTATCTATCTATCTATCTATCTATCTATCTATCTATCTATCTATCTATCTATCTATCTATCTATCTATCTATCTATCTATCTATCTATCTATCTATCTATCTATCTATATATATATATATATATATATATATATATATATATATATATATATATGTATATATATATATATATATATATATATACATATATATATATATAAATACTGAAATAAGCTGTCTGTGTAAACAGAGTTTTGTCTAAACTGATTGAATTAAGTGGAAGGAAAAGGCTAAATATCTTGTTTCATAAACAAGTACATTTTTTTTTAGGTGATTGTTAAATAAATCCTAAATCTAATTTGAATGTCTTGGTTTTTTCAGCTCCAGAACAAGGAGGGGAGACAGGAGAAAAGTTTTTCGAACGAGTGAGTCATCCTTCCTCGCAAAGCTTTTATTATCTTAACCATAAAATGCTCCAGTTCACAGATTGCTGAAAATATCGAGTCTCAATATTTGCTTTAAACTCGGCATTCAGTCTTTACCTGTTTTATGGAGCTGATAATTGCAGCCTTTGAAATGCAAATGCCCCTTTGTATCGTCGGAACATAGCGGTCTTCTGTGTGTCTGTGTGACGGAGTGTAGGCGGGCTTCCTAATTGTGCATACAATGAGTGTCTGCTATGCTTCTTGTGTAATCTCTCACAGGTAATGAGAGAAACTAGCACTCAGGTGAAATGGCCATCCAAGCTCAAGATTGGTGCCAAGTCAAAAAAAGGTGCGAAAGTCTTTATATTCTATTCAAACCAGCAATTTAGCGTTTCCTCTTTGTTTTCCATTGTAATCATTTATAAGGTTACAAGAAAATGTTTCAGACATTTATTTATTTTTTTTTCAACTAGACCCCCATGTGAAGGTGGAAGGGAAGAGAGCTAATGTGATGGAAGCTAAAAAGAAGATTCTAGAAGTGCTGGAACCCAAGGTAAGACCTGGTGACAGTGTGCAAATGAGATAAACCCAGATGAGACATAACAGTATGTCCACCTGCTGTGATTTTGCAGCTAAAAGAAAGACTCACCATTGAATAGACTTACCTGGACCCCTGTAGGCCTGTTGTTGTACTTTAAGACAAAGTGTATGAGCCTCAATCACTGTAATTATATGGTAGTACTATCTGAAAAAGCACTAATACAGGCCTCACTAAGGTAAGTAATACTGTCATGGAAGGATCTAAGCTTTCCCAGGAGAGCATTACCCAAAGCATCCTATTGCCTATATCAGCTTGAATTCTTCCCATTGTTCCTTCTGGGGCCACATATTCCCCAGGTAAGAAAGGCACATCCACCAAGCCATCCATGCAAAGCAAGACAAATGTTATATATCAGACTTGACTGTCTTCCTTATTGTTCCTTTCTGTTCTATTCCATTACATTGCATATGCATTTTTTTTTTCAGCAGTTGTAAAAGAGAACAGAGGTCAGAATAGCCACCTTGGATGCTGTCTAGCTACACAGCTTCAAATGCAGTGATTAGTGATATGCTGAGTGTTTTGGCACTTTTATATGAGAAGTTTCATTCATTTCCTCAGCATTGTAAGGTAGCAGTAGCTGTATGTTTGACCAAGTGACAAAAGATTAAGAAAAGATACAGCTGAACACCTTAAACCTCATAATATCTGCATACTTGCCCTCATTTGGTTGTGAATTTGGTTATAATTATATGTAGGTTATATTTCTTTCCTTGTATTTTAAACCTGACGAAGGAACCTTATTGAGAAATTTTTTTTTCTTTGACATTCATTTCATGATTTTTGGTATAAAAATGAATTAGAAAATCTACTTTAATCATTAAAATGAGAACCAGCAGAATAGAAATGAATACATTTAATTTGCAGTCTTGCGCATCAAAATAAAAAGTGTGAACCACTGACTATCCTAATCTATAGGATTAATTGCCGTTTGCCATGAAGAAAAGTGGCCAAAGCCACTGAACTTTAAATTCCTGCAATTAAAAAAAGGAAACCTTTTCAAAAATTGTGACAAATTATTTAATTTGGTAACAGCAGAGACCCATCTATGAGTATACAGAAAATATCTCTGTACAGAAAAGTACTTCTGGGTGGTATATATTACAATATCTGTCACAGTATTCTGCAACCTGGCTGCTAGATACTGTGACATTTACACTTCCCACAAGCTTACCCTGTCATTACAGTTTGACCCTTATTAAACTTTCTCAAAGCATTTCTGATGACTCATTAGTCCTTCTGACACACTTAATCTAAGGAAAACATGTTCACTTAATACCTGCGTGTCCCACTCACTATAAGGTGCCAAAGGGATACGCAGTGTTATTCACTTTGCTTGTTAGTGATTGTAATGTTTTTGATGCAAATGCAGCTGTCCTCAATCTAAAACATTGTTTAATTTGTAGCCAAAACAAAATTCCCATACTGTCTCCCCCAAATGTGAGTACAGTATGCAGACCTTGGTTTTTGTGAACAACAGGTAAACAAGGTGACTCTGAAGATGGACGTAGCCTTTACGGAGCATTCCCACGTCATTGGAAAAGGTGGTGGAAACATAAAGAAGGTGATGGAGGCCACGTCCTGTCACATCCACTTCCCTGACTCCAATCGTCACAACGCGGCAGGAGAAAAGAGCAACCAGGTTAAAATCCTGTAGAGTTATTCAACAAATTAGAATATAATTGAAAAGTGCATTTATTTCAGTAACTCTGCAGGAAATTAAACATAATAATTGTTTTTTTTACATTATGGATAATGAAAACACAGACCAGAGAAAAACATTTTTTTTAACATAAAAGTGAGTTTTCTAAAAATAATGTCTCATACAATCTGACAAAATAGCCTCATAAAAGCATATTCCATTTTATAAAACATGACTGTAAATGAGGAACCAAACGCTGGTAAACAGGATAAAGATAACTACAGCATAAAAATATTTTCTGTTTTGTCTTTATTAGGTCTCTATAGCTGGACCTATAGAAGGGGTGGAAGAAGCCAGAAGGAGGATAAGAGTAAGTTGTTAATCTGAGTGGGGACTTCGTTTATTTCCACAATTAGTTCTTCGCAAGATATAAAGATCAATACAGCCATCAATAAAACAGCAGGAGCAAATAATACTGCAGTGTGTCTTTCTTGGATTGAAGCCTTTTTGTTTCTCCTTATTACACTATAGGACCTCCAGCCGCTGTCACTAACCTTTGACCTACCAACCAGCTTGGTACCCCAGGCTCTCCCAGATGCAGGCTCTCCCCTTATCCAGCAGGTGGCGCAAACCTTGGGAGTCAGTGTGAGCTTCAGGGCTGTGCCACCAATACCTCAAACCCAGACACAATTTTATGGAAACTCCTGCACCGTTTGGGGACTGCAGGGAAACTCAGCTGCCGTCAAGGTTACTTTCACCGAGAACACAGTTCAAACATTTTATTAATGCTTAAATGCCCATATTAAGTAACTTTTGTGCATATATATATAAAACTCCCTATGACAGAAGGCGACGTTCATCCTGATGGAGCTCCTGCTTGGTTCAGAGGCCCAAAGTGGGATAGTGAGCAGCCAGCTGGATGTCACTGCTCAGCAGCATCTCTTCCTACTGGGACAGAGTGGTGCAAACTTTCTGAGCCTTATGCACAAAACCCAGACTCAGATCATCCTGCCAGACCTTAATGCTCCTCAAAGTCCCCCTTCACTCCTCATTCAGGGCAGCACTGACGGAGTGTTTCTAGCTCGGCAGCAGCTCATGGTACACATGCGCACCTGTCTTTTGTAGATTCTGTCATCTTTCTTCTGCAACAGTCCCCAGATAATCACTATTCTTTCTGTTTTTTCTCTTTATTTACTACAATATACTGTACATGCGTGTACACATAGGATTGCCTGCCAGTTTGTTTGATGTTTGACATGCGTGAAGATGGGGAGGAAAATCCTTGCAAGCTGACTCAGATGATGCAAAACCTTGGAGTCTTCATTAGTGTCAAGCCCAAAGTGAAACAGACCAGCAAGGTGAGATTCATCCAAGTGAATATGCTCTATTTTGCATGAGACACGATTAAAAATAATGGAACAAATTAATTCAGTGGGTTTGTTGGCTCTCAGCTCCACCTCTTCAAACCTACATTCAGACAAGAATTTGGGTCTTGTGTCTCTTTATTCTGCAAGGATTTTTTTTAAATTCAAAATAACTTTTATGAATTCCCTACACTTTAAAATTTATAAACTGATGTTGATTCATGCACTGTATTAGATCCATCTCCTGCTGTGGATCCAATACTGATGGTTAAACAAAACCTGTGTTGATGTATATTTATCAGTCGGCGGTGGTGAAGGGTCTGGAAAGGGACATCACCTGCATTTATGAAGCCCGTCGTCTGCTCCTAGGACTCGATTCCTGCGACACTGCAAACATAAACACAGCAAACCCTGATCTCATCTCCCCTGGTGGTGGGCTGGCAAACTATTGGCTCGACCTTTTACTACAGCAGCTACATCTCTCTGAACAGGGTGAGTTTACATACATATGTCAAGTTGTCCAGCCATAATTTTAAGAAACTTTGAGAAATTACTGTGCTTAATGGCTCATGGGAGTTTGCCCAGTGGATCAACATTTGATTATGTGGTTCTGCAGGCTCAGTCCTGCCAAGACTATGCTGGGGGCGGTACAAAGCCGGGTACAAAGCGGCTGGGGTGAAGATTAGCTCCCCCAAGTCTAAGTCCATGTTTCTCAACCAGAAAAAGGTAGCTTACCCTTTTCAGGTTGGAGGGGAGTCCCTGCCTTAGGTGAAGGAGTTCAAGTATCTTGCGATCCTGTCCATGTGTGAGGACAGAATGGAGTAGGAGATAGACAGAGAGATTGATGTGACGCTGCAGTCATGCACAGACGATGCCATGGTGGGACCACTGGAAGAGATAACCAAGCCACCTCAGCTGACTCCTCTCGATGTGAAGAAGTGGCTCTAAGGCAATCTCTGATGTCCAAGCTAAAAGAATATGTCTCTCGGGTCGCCCTGGAGCATCTCTATGCAAGGACACCTCCTCCAGCTCTTCTGGGTGAGGTATCTGTTAAGAGGGTCATCCAAAAATCTCTGCAGAGACTTCTGCCCCAGCAACTTGGTCCTAGATAAGTAAAAGATGCAGAGTCAAAGATGAATTATTTCCTTTAAAAATACAATATTTTTTCTTAGGAGATGGGATAATAACTCAATAGTTATTATAATACACACACACAGAATTTTTTGCATCGCCATAGCCTAGCCACACTGAAATAATGCACTATCCATGCATCTTACCTTCATTATTAGGCTCAGCACCTACTCAAACTACAGAGGCCCTGACTGGTATTAAGCCCCACCCTTCACCTCCACCAGGCCTCACTTCTCCAAACGATGAGGGCAGAACAGGCTCTAAGGGAACAGACAGTCGCCAGCTGGAAAAGGTGTGTTTTTAATACAAACAAAACACATGCAGCAATCTCCAAAGAACTTCAAATGTGTTTCTACCTTTTTGCCATAGATCCTTGAGAATGAATATCATTCAGATCAATCAGAGGAAGAGAGCATCAAGGTAGTGAGGATGTCCTCATCCGAGGTGTGTGAGGGAGTAAACAACATTAGTAGGGTGGGTCTAAATGGTAGGAGGGGGAGTCTCCAAGGTCCAGAAATCAGCAAAACCCACAGCCAGGGAAGACGCCATTCCACAGGACAGGCACTGACATACAGGTGAGAACTAATCTGTATTCTTCCAGAATCTGTTTTATATAATCCTCAGTATTGCTTTGAGATTAGATGACAGAATAAGGATTAAAGGGTCAACCTTCTGCAAACAAAGATGTTGCATGTAGACGGACTTTGAATCATCAATGAAAGGAGTTATTTGACCCACTGTGGCATTAATATAATATAACCACACAGTCTCAGATAAAAACACCTGAGAAAGGTAAGTTCAGAGACTGAGAGTCCTACTAATCAGTGAGTAAAATTCTATTTTTGCTAAATCTTCAGACACATATTATGTTTTTTATTTGGATATGCCTCCTCTTACTCTGATACCCACAAAGAAAGTCTAGTATTCCCACAGTAACTGCTTTCAGAAGTCAACTAACAAGTAAAGCTGTGGGTCATTTACTCTACAGCTATCCTGTAAGGCCTATAAGAATTAGAGAATATAAACATCAGTGATAAAGTTGCTGGGAAGTTGAGAGCAGAAATCAGATTTTATACATTATCCCAAGCTTTTGAGATCTACCAGATCAATATTCAACCTAGAGATACTCCCATACTCGTCCCCTGAGAAGGGGACGAGTATGGGACAACTGTAAATGCACCAGGACATGGTCACTTACCTAAACTGACACACCATGACAGGGGGGAAATATTCAGAAATCAGTGAAAAGGCTGATATTAACTTTGGAAAAACTGTAGAGATCAACAGCTCAGGTAGGAGAATCTGTCAAAAGGGCAGCTATTATTTGGGCTCGCTGCAACTCTGTCCACCATAAAGACGAAAGCCATCAACTAAAATAAGCTTAAAGAATCACCAGTTGCAGTTTGCTACAAGCAATGATATAACAAATATGACAAGGGACTTTTTTTTAGTTAAGCTGAAGTTTTTGAAATACCTGGAAACATAAATCATCCAGGCAGCATCGTACTGTGGGTCTGCTTTTCTTCAGTGTAAACAGTAGTATTGAATCTTTTAAAATGTAGATGGTGGTTCTTATACATACATACATACATACATACATACATACATACATACATACATACATACATACATACATACATACATACATACATACATACATACATACATACATACATACATACATACATACATACATACATACATACATACATACATACATACATACATACATACATACATACATACATACATACATACATACATACATACATACATACATACATACATACATACATACATACATACATACAATTACACGCCTACATACATACATACATACATACATACACACACACACAAACAATTACACGCCTACATACATACATACATACATACATACATACATACATACATACATACATACATACATACATACATACATACATACATACATACATACATACATACATACATACATACATACATACATACATACATACATACATACATACATACATACATACAGGGCAAAACAACTGTGAGAGTTTTGCTTTCCAGCTGAATGTTAATCCTAGGCATTCACTTAAATATTTCTGTGTTTTTACCTTTAAAGGAAAGTTGTACTTGACTTCTTTCTTTGCCTTTCAGAGTAAAAGCCTGAAAAAAATGAATGAATTTCTAAAAAAATATATCTAAAGAATTTTGAAACCCAGCAATGTGTCATTTCCCTTTTGCTTCACAATTGTCTAATTTTATTTTGGTTTATCAAATGGCAGGAAAACTTGGGCAATACATTGTGTAAGAAAAGCAAGCCTTTAGATGTTGCATATGTTTCCCCCATCTCACCAAGTGTGTGTGTCCTGAATGTGACAGGTTGTTGGGCCCAGAGGGAGGGCTGAGTGAACGGAGGAACAGCCTGAGGAGAGATGCTCCTCAGGCTCAAAATGTTCACGCTGACTCATCAAAGGCTGAGGTGAGGAAAAACAGAAACTGAACCCTATTTTCCACAGCAACTTGGTTATGAGTGGCCTAATTCTCTGTGGACCAGCAATCAATTTCTTTCAGCCCTGTGGTACCAAGGATGAAAGAGATTAGGCCTTTTTATGCCAACAGATGTTGACGAAATAAACAGAAAATGGCAGAAACATTTCATCCAGGCTGTTAAGACATGTATTGGCTTTTCCATCCTTGATCAGCCTGGAATTTGATTTGAGGATTGATTTTTGTGTTTGCTTCCTTCCACTCTTGTTTGTCATCTCTCCTCTAAATGTTACATTGTGGAGGATTAACAAGTTTACTGTCACAACAGCAGGAAGCAACACAGTGCTCATTTCTCCAGTAAATTAGGTTCCTGCTGTCTATCCCAGAGAAGCCAAGGGGGAAAAAATCAATTTCACGCATTTTTTATCTTATTTATTTGCTGTTTTCTTTGTAGAATTTTGACTATGAAAAGAAGAAACTGCTGGCAACAAGAGGTTAGTGCTTTTCAAGGTTTAATTATTTTGTTTATATTTCTCTAAAACATTTTTTAGCTCTTCCGTATAGAATTAAAACATTGTTTACAGATCTGCCCAAACAAATCAGGCAATACTCCATGTGTGAGAGAAGAACCTCTGTAAAAAATGGATTTTACTCATTTTAAACATTTGGGAATGTATTATCATTTTATATTATCAATACTTATGGTTAGCTAAGCTAGCATTAGTTATTGCAAAAAATCTTCCCGCTAAATCCTCAAAAACATGCAAACCCTAACCTCAGCTGACATTTCCCTAATCTACCAAACTTTATGACATCAGAGAGCTAAAAAGGCAAAAACAGTCCTTAACTGTGGCAGTCAGCAACATTTCACATTTTCAACAGTGTTGCATAACACTTGCTTAATATAACAAAAAATAAAAACTCAAAATACAACTCAATAATACTGAAAATACCCAACTTTAAATCCTTTGTCCCACCGTTACAACTTCCACACCGAAGACAGTTTTTGTCAGCGTAAGCTGGTAAAACTTTAGTTAGGTGCATTTACCAGTTAAAGAGATTTTTGGGTATCCAACGGGATAGTTAATGATCAGTACAGTAATGCTGAACATTAAAGGAATAGTACACCCAAAACATGATAAGCCTTCATTTTCTACTCACCCCCATGCTGAACAACACTCTGGAGTACTTTTTTGATATCTCAAATGCATCTGGAGATCTGGGAGGCTTCTTGCTGTCTGCTAACATTCAAATAATGGAGGTCTATTGCGCCCGAGGCAGAAAGGTCCATAAAAGTCTACAAAAAACGTGTCAATATTCCTCCATACTGCTCGTCCAATGTATGCGTTCACGAGTCTACGGAAACCGCGGCAGACCAAACCAGATGAAAGTGCGCATTCAGCGTCTGCTCTGCCGATAATGCAAGCATAGAAGAAGAAATGTGCTGTTTACCTGTGCAAAGAAAGAAACAACGAAAGAAAAATGTCTGAGGACTTCAGTGTTGAGGAAGAGCATGAGTTCTTTGCCGAGCTGAATGCGCACTTTCATCTGGTTTGGTCTGCCGCGGTTTCCGTAGACTCGTGAACGCGCTTTTAGGAAATCCTATACACTACTGTTTATGCTCTAAAAACATTCTAAATTACTTTGTTTCGAGTAAATTATGGACGCTACCCACTCAGGACACTTGGAATACATTGGACGAGCAGTATGGAGGAATATTGACACGTTTTTTGTGGACTTTTATGGACCTTTCTGCCTCGGGTGCCATAGACCTCCATTATTTGAATGTCAGCAGACAGCAAGAAGCCTCCCAGATCTCCAGATGCATTTGAGATATCAAAAAAGTATTTCAGGGTGTTGTTCAGCATGGGGGTGAGTAGAAAATGAAGGCTAATCATGTTTTGGGTGTACTATTCCTTTAATCCATGAAGTTGTGCTACTCTTACTTAATCAACATTTTTGGCTGCTTTACTCACTGGACGTACTGTAATTTCATCAAAATGAAGAACGTTAAAATTTTAATCAAACATTGAATCAATCATACTTTATCTCACGAGCTTTAGAGAATAAGTAAGTACAGTAAAAATATTGACAAAGCAGATACAGTACTTTATATCTTTTTTTAAATATCACACAGCTAGGACATAGTGTCTTGCAATGAATCATCAAAAAACATTGTGACACTGCAGTAATCAGACATAAGGCATTTTTCGTAGTTTTTTTTTTTTTTTGGTTCAATATGGCTCTTTGAACAGTTTGGGTGGCTGACCCCTACTTTAGGTGGATATAAATATATATAAATTATATACAACTTGTATATATATATATATATATATATATATATATATATATATATATATATATATATATATATATATATATATATATATATATATATATATATATATATATATACTATATTGCCAAAAGTATTTGCTCACCTGCCTTGACTCACATATGAGCTTAAGTGACATCCCGTTCCTAATCCATAGGGTTCAATATGACGTCGGTCCACCCTTTGCAGCTAGAACAGCTTCAACTCTTCTGGGAAGGCTGTCCACAAGGTTTAGGAGTGTGTTTATGGGAATTTTTGACCATTCTTCCAGAAGCGCATTTGTGAGGTCGCACACTGATGTTGGACGAGAAGGCCTGGCTCTCAGTCTCCGCTCTAATTCATCCCAAAGGTGTTCTATCGGGTTGAGGTCAGGACTCTGTGCAGGCCAGTCAAGTTCATCCACACCAGACTCTGTCATCCATGTCTTTATGGACCTTGCTTTGTGCACTGGTGCACAGTCATGTTGGAAGAGGAAGGGGCCAGCTCCAAACTGTTCCCACAAAGTTGGGAGCATGGAATTGTCCAAAATGTCTTGGTATGCTGAAGCATTCAGAGTTCCTTTCACTGGAACTAAGGGGCCAAGCCCAGCTCCTGAAAAACAACCTCACACCATAATCCCCCCTCCACCAAACTTTACACTTGGCACAATGCAGTCAGACAAGTACCGTTCTCCTGGCAACCGCCAAACCCAGACCCGTCCATCAGATTGCCAGATGGAGAAGCGCGATTCGTCACTCCAGAGAACGCGTCTCCACTGCTCTAGAGTCCAGTGGCGGCGTGCTTTACACCACCGCATCCGACGCTTTGCATTGCACTTGGTGATGTATGGCTTGGATGCAGCTGCTCGACCATGGAAACCCATTCCATGAAGCTCTCTGCGCACTGTTCTTGAGCTAATCTGAAGGCCACATGAAGTTTGGAGGTCTGTAGTGATTGACTCTGCAGAAAGTTGGCGACCTCTTCGCACTATGCGCGTCAGCATCCGCTGACCCCGCTCCGTCAGTTTACGTGGCCTACCTCTTCGTGGCTGAGTTGCTGTCGTTCCCAAACACTTCCATTTTCTTATAATACAGCTGACAGTTGACTGTGGAATATTTAGGAGCGAGGAAATTTCACGACTGGATTTGTTGCACAGGTGGCATCCTATCACAGTTCCACGCTGGAATTCACTGAGCTCCTGAGAGCGACCCATTCTTTCACAAATGTTTGTAAAAACAGTCTGCATGCCTAGGTGCTTGAATTTATACACCTGTGGCCATGGAAGTGATTGGAACACCTGATTCCAATAATTTGGATGGGTGAGCAAATACTTTTGGCAATATAGTGTATATGCTTAAGCTGAAAAAATTACCTTTAGCATTTTATGAAGACAACACTCCAATCAAAACAGAGGCAGTTATTTCATAGGGAAAGCTAATTTCAGAGTTGCTTACTGCCAGCATGGCTGATAAAGTGGACCTGTTTATAGGCTGCACTGTGCCAAAGTTATAATGGAGAGGAATTGGCACTCCCACTTAATTCACAAAAGCAAGATACACGACGCAGACACCACACACATGGATCCAGTCACCCCTGACTATGCACACACACCTGCACACATCAGTTAAGAAATGCAATGCTTCATTCTTCATGCCGAATGAGAGATCCCGAGATCTGCTGCCAAATGGTACCAAATTCCCTCTGCGTTATTTTATGGGAATATGAATTAGCAGGTTGAATGGGCCATCTGCCTCATAGTTATTAGGAGCATCCATATGTTTGGGTATGAATGGGGCCTTTACTCACACAGATACACATACAAATAATGTTCCAACCATTATAATTATGTTGATATTTTCCTTTGTGTGAAGAGCTGTTGTGGTTTATGACACCCACTGATAGGAAAATCATTCATCGTTTTTGTGTTTCATTATTTAACAGCAAAAAAAATTTTTAGGTGATAGATTTAAATATTCATGGTCTTCTGTGTTTTACCTTTGGCTCAGTGTTCTTCATTTTTTTCTTACTTGACTTTTACGTTATACTGGGTGAACAGCCATGCAGAAGAAGCCTGTGGTCACAGAAGTTCGGACACCGACAGATACTTGGAGTGGCCTCGGATTTTCCAAGTCTATGCCAGCAGAGGCTATCAAGGAGCTCCGCTGCATCAGCAGGCGATGCTACAAACCTTACCTGAGTGCCAACATCAATCCACAGCAGGTGCAAACAGAGATATAAGATAACTTTATTAAATTAAGGCGTAATAAAACTCTGTGCCTTTATTTTAGTGCAACGTTAATTTAAAGAGAGTCAAATCCAAACCTACGGTTGGACGAACTTTAGTTTTGATTATATCAAAATGCAACTCCTAGTTCCATTATTTTGTCTTGGAAAGAGACTCAATCTTAAACATATAACATTATTGAAATACCTTTAGTGTTGTCAGGCTGTGTGGAGGTTTCTAGAGGACCCAAATGCAGAAACAAAAGCTGAGATCGTTTTTTGTAGATTTAATAAGCAAAAGGTGGCAACTGATGCAAAGGTCCACAAACAGAAAACCAAAATCCAGAAGACATCAGGGAAAACACACATTAGGACAAAGAAATGATAAAGAACCAGCTAACAGTAAATAAAGAGGAGGAGTATAAATGGGAGACCTAACAAAGACTAGGCTAATTAGCAGATTGGGAGCAGGTGTGTAAAGAAGATTCTAGAAGGGAGCTAGGAGAAGGAGACTGACAAAAGAGGGCAATGGAGGGTAAAAAATAAATATATAAGAACTCAAATGCAACCGAAAACAACTAGAATAACACAAAATGGAAAACAAAACCAATGAAAACTTAAAAGGAAAACTTAAACAAAACCAAATCCATGACACATGGTGTAGAGATTAACTCTATAGAGATACATTCAATTTACTGTGCTGTTAAAGCATTGTTTCACAATTTGAACTTCACAGTCTTAACCTGTTATTTAACATATACAATCCCTCTGAAATAGTTTTCAGATTAGTGTTAAATTATTTTTCATAGATAAGAGGACTTTTTTCCATATCCCATTTTTTCTTGTGAGGGTATACTAGAGAATTTGAAGTGTCTATGTATAATCAAATGGCTTTAGCCTTAGCAACATTAGCAGTTTGCAATAGTCTCTTACATAATAGAATAAAAGTTACACATGCAGCAACATTTACACACTGCCTGCAGGTGAATTCATGATGAAATTGCCATGACTCTGTTGCATGTAGAGTGCACTTTCTGGACTTTTCTGGTTAGAACAAGAAGCCCACAAGAAAAGCCAAGTCACTTCCCCAATGGATTTTTTGGCAGGTTTTAACTGAAAGCCCAGCACCTGCACCAACATTAGTTTTACCGTACCATGAAAAGTCGGATATCCCTGGTGATAAAACTCTTAAAGATACCTACCAAAGAAGACTATACAATGATGATACGTTCTTGTATTTCAGATTGTCCTGATAGTGAGTTATATACACTCACCGGCCACTTTATTAGGTACCCCATGCTGGACCCCCTTTTGCCCTCAGAACTGCCTCAATTCTTCGTGGCATAGATTCAACAAGGTGCTGGAAGCATTCCTCAGGGAGTTTGGTCCATATTGACATGATGGCATCACACAGTTGCCGCAGATTTGTCAGCTGCACATCCATGATGCGAATCTCCCGTTCCACCACATCCCAAAGATGCTCTATTGGATTGAGATCTGGTGACTGTGGAGGCCATTTGAGTACAGTGAACTCATTGTCATGTTCAAGAAACCAGTCTGAGATGATTCCAGCTTTATGACATGGCGCATTATCCTGCTGAAAGTAGCCATCAGAAGTTGGGTACATTGTGGTCATAAAGGGATGGACATGGTCAGCAACAATACTCAGGTAGGCTGTGGCATTGCAACGATACTCAATTGGTACCAAGGGGCCCAAAGAGTGCCAAGAAAATATTCCCCACACCATGACACCACCACCACCAACCTGAACCGTTGATACAAGGCAGGATGGATCCTTGCTTTCATGTTGTAGATGCCAAATTCTGACCCTACCATCCGAATGTCGCAGCAGAAATCGAGACTCATCAGACCAGGCAACATTTTTCCAATCTTCTATTGTCCAATTTCGATGAGCTTGTGCAAATGGTAGCCTCAGTTTCCTGGTCTTAGCTGAAAGGAGTGGCACCCGGTGTGGTCTTCTGCTGCTGTAGCCCATCTGCCTCAAAGTTTGACGTACTGTGCGTTCAGAGATGCTCTTCTGCCCACCTTGGTTGTAACTGGTGGTTATTTGAGTCACTGTTGCCCTTCTATCAGCTCGAACCAGTCTGGCCATTCTCCTCTGACCTCTGGCATCAACAAGGCATTTCCGCCCACAGAACTGCCGCTCACTGGATGTTTTTTCTTTTTCGGACCATTCTCTGTAAACCCTAGAGATGGTTGTGCGTGAAAATCCCAGTAGATCAGCAGTTTCTGAAATATTCAGACCAGCTCTTCTGGCACCAACAATCATGCCACGTTCAAAGTCACTCAAATCACCTTTCTTCCCCATACTGATGCTCGGTTTCAACTGCAGGAGATTGTCTTGACCATGTCTACATGCCTAAATGCACTGAGTTGCCGCCATGTGATTGGCTGCTTAGAAATTAAGCGTTAACGAGCAGTTGGACAGTGAGTGTATATCTATATATATATATATATATATATATATATATATATATATATATATATATATATATATATATATATATATATATATATATATATATATATATATATATTAGAGACAATCCAGTTGTTTATTTTAGTAGAGGACATGCTGATTTTATGTTTTTATTGCATACGCTTTAGATAGATTTTTGTACTTTCAGTCTCATTTGCTCCCCTCACCTTGTATCAGTGTGAAGCATTTATCTCTCTGTGTGAGGAAGTGCTGCCAACTTGGACGCTCCATTACATCGAATCCGATTTCACAAGGCCGCAGGTCCAACCTGCTTTATTGGCAGGTATTTATAGTAAAAATATACATGCTACCTACAATACAAACCGTAAGTTTACATAGACTTATCATGGGGATGAGAGACTTATATCATGCGTGGCTTAGTTGACACATTCAGTTCTTTGGGAAGAGGATCAGGACCATAAAAACAAACAAAAAAACAAACAGCCACTCTAAAATTCAAGGCTATTGAATTGTAAATTTATCCTTAGAATTCTGACTTAAATCTCATAATAACATGTTTAATTATTTAGGACTCTATTGCCAAAGCCCATGAATATTACTTCAGTCAAAATGAATATTACTTATAATTTTATGAGAATAATTCCAAGAATAAAGTCAGAAATCAATAGCCATTTTGTATTATTGAGTGGTAATTTATTATTGGCCTTACTCCTCTTCCATACATCCTGTATACGTTGCAGCAAATATTTATATAGTTGTAGTTTTCTTTTCCAAATTGTAACTTAATCATGTGCTTTTTGTAACCTTCAATGATATTGTGGTTGCAAATGTTAGCTCGCTTTCTGATAGACAGTGGAGCTCATTTAAAAAACTTTCATTCCCTTGCACCATTCTGTAAGTCAATAAAGGCATTACAGAATTATGTCGGAAATTATGTGGGAAGGCAAAAAGCCATGTTGATTTTGTGCAAAATTTCTTAGAAAACCTTAATCTACATATTATGGCGTGTGTATTTATGTATTTAGAACTGGGTGAGAAATCAAACCTATGCAACTAATAGATTACAAAAAAGAAATTATTGAAAAGTTTTTTTTTTAAATTACCACTGAAGCCAAAAACGAAAGGTCAAAAGAATTAAAATATTCCTAAAGAAACACAGTTACTGTTTGTCTTGTTTGTAAGAATTCACACCCATTGCATTGTAACTTGAAGACACAAAGGCAGAAGTAACACAAATGAGTCATTAATGCAGATATTTTTGTACATGTAGTGTTGGGCTGCTCAGACAGGGAAGGTTTGCATTGGCAGCGACTCTGAGAACTGGAGGGACAGATGTGGATCCACATCTCAGCTCATTTCTTCCTCCTCCTCCTCATCTCCACCCTTCTCCTCCACACCCCCTCCTGCTTCTTTCTCTGCATTTTCATCCTCGCTGAACAGAGGCAGAAACGACAAGTCATGTAAGTGACACCTCCTTTCAAAGTTTGTTCAGTTTTTCTAGATCTTTAATCTGCTCAATGATTTATGATTACTTAAAGTCTCCCTTTGATGTCTAGTGGAAAACTCTGTCAGTTGCTGCTTCTCCACTAAGGGGGAGTCTTCCTGCAGTCAGCGGAGCTCATCACCCCTCATGACAGAAGACCTGCCTGAGCTCCTCAGCCAACTCGGGCTAATCAAATACATTGATCTGTTTGAACAACAGGAGGTAAGGCACATGCAGAGTTATGAGAATTACATTTCATAATCAGCTCATCAGCCTGAACACATGCAGCACTGCAGATTCAAACATGAATGTTCACATTCATATCTGACCTCCTGCCAAAACCTTTATTAAACTCCAACGATCATCATGATCTAACTTTCTGTTACTCCCACAGATTGACTACCAAACATTTCTCACTCTGTCTGATGAGGACCTGAAAGAAGTCGGGGTATCTACTTTCGGAGCCAGACGCAAGATGTTAATAGCCATCTCAGGTGAGGAACTACTACATCTGTCAGCTAAAAACAGGTTATGTTTGTCTAATTTCTGGGAAATGATTGCTCCCTAATCCAGATCTTAACAAGAGCAGAGGGAGATTGCTGGAAGCACAAACGGTTAGGACTGGGTACCTGGAGGGGGGAGCAAGTGGCAGACTTCCACGCATCTTGGATGCAGATGATGCAGCTCAGAGTAACCGTTGGTGAGAGCAGCCCCTGAAAGGATCTGAGCTTTTATGAACACTGCAATGCTGCCTGAGAAAATAAGTTCTCACCATTGTTTTTTAACTAGTAACCAATAGACAACAAAAATGTACACACAATGTACTCTTTTCCAGTGCCTTATATCAATAGCTATACTCCAAAGCTTTATGTTCTTTATTTCACTCAAATGATTCCCTTCCCAAACTAGGAATTCACAAGAACCCTTTAAGCATTTGGTGTGTTATTCTTACCCACTTTTTTTCATAGTTGTAAATTAATATTTGACAAAGAAAATCCTTTATAGTTTATGAATCAATGCAGAGCATTTATGATTCTATAGGAGTGTAGATACCTCAAAGATATTGTAAATAAGCTGAGCTTAGCTTCATTTATTTCTTTAGCATGGTGAAATGATTAATGCTGTATGGGTGCTCAGAAATGAAAACAACCCACTAGAGGGCAGTGGTGTCCCACTGTCCCAAAACATGTCTGTTTTGTATGAAAAAGTGTGGATTTGTTCCCCATTGACAGGAGTAGTAGGCTACAGTCCCTGGTGGATAAGGTTCATCGTCATTTTGAAACATACATTAGAAATAATGAGGCAAAGCAGAAACTAATCTGAAACCTTAATTATACTGAGCTCAGTTTATCCTATTGTGCACTAATCTGATTTCATTTTAACATTAGGTGTTTATCTGTATACTATTACATCCATCAAAATAGAGTTGCTTAATTAAAGTAATGTGATTTGTAATTTGTAAATTGAAAAAAAAACAACAAAACAATTACTGGATTAATAGGGTTTGCTTGCAGTCACCACGAGGTCTTGATCTGCTCAGAGGCTCCACAGGCTGGCTGGTTCATTGGCAGCCGAGCATGAAACACAGCAAGTGACAGGAAGTGTTGGGCTGTGACAGATTAGGTACAGATGATCCCTACTTATTACAATGTCTTTGCCAATTATGTAGGCATGCTTTAAAGTGTTGATCCTCAAATCTGGTCCTTAAGCTCTGGAAAATGCAGATTATTTTTTTCTCCTGCTGGGTAGTTAATTGTGCTCCCCTGAGGTCACAGGTCTAAATTGGTCTGCGATCGCACTGCTAGAATGAAAACTACCAAGAAAAAAAAAAAGAACAGTGCTTTGAACCTCAACAAGTGAGCCACTTGGACATTTCCCTTGTGAAGTGGCAATCTGGGAACGTGACAAGGTTGCATGGTGGAAATGCAAAACATCGCCTTGAGCTGAAAAATTGCAGCTTCTCCTGGATTTCACTCAGGTCTAGTTTGTAACTCCAATAAAAACATTTTTTTCTTGCTATGTGATGTTTCCAACCACTTTTTTGCTGGAGACAGGTTATTACTGAAACATCATAATACAGTCTTAGTCAAACATACAGGTAATTATATTTCATTATCTGAATTTAAAATAACCACCGCAGATTGTTATGGACAATATTCATTCATACCAATGATTTTTTTTCTTTATGGGGTGAGATTGTTTTACATTTTAGATTTAACCCACTGATCAGTTGCGTTAATTGAATTTATGTCCCTCTTGTAAAACTAAAATATTTGCTTTAAAGTGAAAAATCTGAACTTATTGAAAAGGGTTGATTTGTCTCACTAACTCTGCATGCACCAAAAGCTATTATTTCAAACGTTATAAGACTTTTTATAACATTAAAAGCTTTAGAATGTCAATACACTATTGACTAATATCGTATTTACAGTACTATGTTCTTACAAACATAACTATTCCAAACTTTCAAAGACAAAAGGGAGAACATATTAAAAACAACTCCTTTCACAAGACCATATGTCACATGTAATGCATGGTTATTTAGAAAGTAAATTCTTTATCACACAATGAGACCACCACTCATCAGAGGCGAGGGATTGTAAAGTTTCTAAGCGTCTCATGTGGTTTCTATTAGCATAAACAGCTCAATCATTGATAAGCAGCTGCAAAATTAATTCTTTATGCTAAAGGGTTTTGTTGTAAATGCATTTGCTGTATTCTAAATTTTAATTAACTTTGTGAGAACCATCCATCCATCCATTTTCTCCCGCTTAGTCCTTGTCAGGGTTTTGGTGGGGCCTGTGCCGATCTCCAGCAGTCTGTGGGTGAGAGGCGGGGTAAAACGTAGACAGGTCGCCAGTCTGTCGCAGGACAACACAGAGACACATAAAGACACACACTCACACCTAAGGACAATGTAGAGAAGCCAATTAACTGTACAGTCATGTTTTTGGACTGTGGGAGGAAGCTGGAGTACCCGGAGAGAACCCACGCATGTACAAGGAGAAAAATTCCAACTCCATGCAGAAAGACCCCAGGCAGGGAATTGAACCCAGAACCTTCTTGCTGCAAGGCAACTATGCTACCCACTGTTCAACCATGCAGCTCTTGTGAGAACTAATCAAGGCTTTACTCCTATTATTACTTTAAAATCTGTTAGGTGAGCATTAAAACTGAAGGCCAGTAGATTAACCTCTTAACATCACAAACACTATGCAAATATCAGCAAGAAGTGCCACTTGAGATAGAAAGTGAGTTTCAGGATGCTGTGAACAATACAAAAGGAAAAAGAACATTCTGAAGATAAACTTTGTAGTATTTATAACCAGCCTCTGACATGTGAGTCCCATTAAATGTTAATCATTAAAAGCCCACACAACCACCTTCCAGAAACATAATGTCCTGACTTTTTTTCCTCTTTACAGGATAAATAGCCAACAGAGTCATTGAATATGAGCTCAGCAAAGCATGAGCTCATATATGATGACTCATTTTTAAGCCAATGGCTTCACCATCATTGGCTTTCTGTTGTGGTCATAGAAAACATATTAGAGATCTAGTTGTAGCTTTTGGTTGCTTGGCAGGCAACTTTTCAGTGCATTTTTTTTTTTTGCGCATTTCCAAATTATAGGACAGAAAAAAGATTGTAGGCTACAAACAATACAACAAAAAATATAATTTTCTAAAAAAGGACTGTATTGGTCGTGTAAAGTGTATATCTGCTAAAATAAGAAGGAAAAATATAATAACCAAAAAATAAAATTACAAAAGAAGACCAACTCCCATTAAAACTAATATTGCTTTGCTGAGGCATCAACTGTCTCCATGGGTTTTTGGATTGTTTGAAGGAGCCAACCAGCATGTAGGCCGTCTGTGGACAATAACGAAGGAACTAATAGAGAAATGAAACAGAGCAATGGAGCGCCCCGAGGATAAAGCATAACCACACATTCCCCTCCTGTGATGAAGATGGAACTCACTCCAGGAATGTGAGAAAGAGAGCAGAGAGAGAAAATAGAAACAGTAATAAGAGCGTGAGAAAACAAAAAGTGTGTTGAAGCATTAGTGAGAACAACAGGAAGAATTTGAACACCCTGGAACTGATGATCACCATTTGATCCAAAAAAAGTGGATAATAGTATTTGAAAATATCTTAATGTCATATTATACTTTTAAAACCTATATTCAAACGGTCAATATGACTTCAGGTTTCTAACAAGCAGCTATCAGACTAATTATATGCTATACACGGCTGATAACTATAAAAGCAGTAAAATGCTTTTTCTGAAGAATTACAGCAAATTATAATCCAGCAAAAGCATAGATCAGGTTGACAAAATAAATAAACAATAAAACATAAAGGCTTCTATTAGCAGTGCAGCACAGATAATTACTTTAGAAAGTTGGAAAATTAAGAGTTTTGGCATCCTGAGTTATAGATTAGTTTTCTATCTGTTGATTCATTTTTAAAATGGCTTAAAACGTCAAACCCAGTTTCCTCCTGACAAAGAGAATTGAAATTAGAGCACTACTGATACATAAATACAATTTTTTAAAGGAAACAACTAAAGAAAGCAGTCTTTGTAATGTTAGTCACAAGAGCAAAGAACACCAGCTCAGAATTTTCCTACAGCTTCTGCTTTGAAAGCTGCCTTCTTTTGTATTTCCTCAGGAGGAAGAAGCTGGACTTTAAATCTGAGCCTATGTCTGAAGTCTGTATAATGCAACCGCTTTTGGCATTTATCTAATCACATATAGTTAGTTTCACACAATTGTATATGTCTTACCCTGCTAACATGAAACAATTGTGTTAAAGTAACTAAACATGATTAAGTAAATGCAAAAAACGAGTGCATTATTTTTTTCAGCGTGCAGCAACTCAAAATCTGTGAAAAATGATCATTTTTGTTTAAATTAACTTTATCAACATACAGTGTGGAGAGTTGGAAGTTTTCTTAAAAGAATACAAATAGATCCCACCAATCCAAAAATAAAAATTAGTAAATTGAAAATCATTAAATTTTTTTCATCAAGTCCGGAGAGAAACAGAGTTGATATACCCTTAACATCTCCATATAAGGCAAATTGCTTATTTACTTCAACAATGTTTGTAAAGGACTGCTGACTAAGGCTTTTCATCCCAAAAGGTTCAGTTGTCCTTTTAGCCTCTTAGTGTATGTATGATGTGTGTGTTTTTTTCCCCCTAAAGTGCTGAGCACGGCTGTTTCATCGCAGGGAGGTCAGCTGTCCCATTAGCCAACAACACTCATTAAGCCTTCGTGTTTTCTTTTGGTCGCTGCCAATTTTGTCATTCTCCTCTCTAAAAGAGGCACGTGATATGAGTATTTCATTCCTCCACCATTTATCTTTGTCTCTAAAAGAGGATGCTGCTTTCTCAAGGCTAGAAAAGGTCAGAGCTGATAGAAGGCTTTGATTGTTAGACTGCACAGAAATTCAGGCATTAGAAAAAAAAGGAAAAAAAGAAGAACGGCTTTGTGGTTTCAAAGTAAGCTAAGGGATATGTTTTTTTTTTTATTCCCCACCTTCTGATGACTTGGGATGTAACATATGAGGCAACATGTGGAAAGAAGAGACAAGTGGACATCAGCACAAGGTTCAAAAGACACCCAAGGTGCCATTTTACTGAAATTTGAAAATAAATAAAAGTTCACGCATTTGATTTAAATTCACTGAACATATCCAATGTTTGGAGGCAGAGCAGACTCTCATCTCCACTGGATTTCATATGTCCTCCCAGCTCAGGAGCAGCTACCTCATCCAATGTCCATGCAGTGTCAAAAGGCCTAAGTAGCCCTACAGACCACTTTGCAGAATACCAGTAGACCAAGGCATACAGATTTGAACTCCAGGCCTGCGATGTCTACAAAACAAATTACTACCTCCTGAGATTGGGAGAAGAACCGAAAGGACACTAGACAGCATCAACATAGCAACAACGAAGTATTGTAGCAGCCAAAATAGGTATCACTTTCAGTTTGAGATGCATAGAGCTGGACCCGGCCAGGTAAATCTCTCTTTTACAGGTACAAGATGAGGAACATGCAACGACAACAACAATACATCATTAATCTCAGTGTTTCTTGGGCTTTCTGGAGACATTCAAATACCAAAAGAAAAGAAAAAACAAACCAACAAAAAAAAATAATAATTTACAATCCTCCAGTAATTAACAGAGAGAGAGAGAGGTGGAGATTGGCGTAATTGGTGGTGGGGGATCTCAGAGCTTTAATCTGTGGCAGCAATTTGCAGAAAACACTGGAGGGAGGCCAGTGGTGGAACACAGAACAGAAAAAAGCTGCAAACAAACAACAGGGAAAATAATCCACAATCAAGCCGTCCTGGAGGAAACATATTTACATCCAATATATCAGCTAATGTATCTGGGCTTACAGACTGACCAGAGACACTGATACTCACAACGATAAGAGAGAGAAAGAGGGTGAGTACAGGAAAAATAAAACCACAAAAAAAAAAAAACTATCCATATTTTAAGGGTGTAGGAATTGGAAAGGTTATTTTTTTTGGTGGGGGATTGGAATAGTTCTTACAATGTCATGAGAGTTTTGTTTTGTTTCTATGAGTTCTCTTTTATTTATCTGACAAAATAGTGAACTTGAAGAGAAAACTTTGCATGAGGTTCACTGAAGAAAAGGGTTGGATAAGTTGCAGGAATTACAAGAGCAGGTTTAGAGTCAATAGATGGACCACTGCCAAGGTAACTGAAGGAAGAGGAGTTGGAATGGCTTCAGATCTGTGCCGAGTTGACAGAGTTTTCTGGTCAGCTGATGGTAAAGTAAAAGGACGTAGTGGAGCTACCAGGTATAGCCA